AAAAAAAAAAAAAGAAAAACGTGTAACTTCCAAGTAGAGAGTCGATCATTCACGAGCCTCTTATCTCGAACAAAAGATACTCCGCGAGAGAGTGAATCCACTTTCGATACATGGAATTTCCGCGAACCTAAGCGAAACTGACTAAAAAAGAATTTTCCCGGTTCTATCTCGAGTGCGCTTCACTTGGTCGCTCGCCATTTCCCGTTGTCCCTTTCCTCACTTTCCAAGCTCTCGAAGCTCGAAAAGCGTCCTTGGGAATTTCCGTCGACGAACGACTGCGAATAATCCTCAGCGGCGAAATTCGATCGGAAACACGATGCGCAATATCGAAGTCGCACATTCCTTGTAAAGTTTCTCGAGTCGAGAGGGTGCACGGCCGGATTCAGCTGTTGCGGATTTCGTGACTGATGTAATTGCCACCCCGGGCTCAAGCCCTTCGGCCTTGACACAACACAAAGTGTTTCGGAAACTACCGCGATTAAAATATAAACGCGCGTGCGAGGTGTATAATGATCGAGGCCTGTGCCAAGCACCCGATAGCACGCCGGAAACTGACGGACGCGTACACAACGATATACACGTTTGACGCAGCCGGAGGGATCACCTTGACAGACGAGCTGCAATCGTGCAAGTTCGTGGATTCCTTTCGAGGATAAAAATTCCAAGCCAGTTAGGAAATTATTCGCGTCGTGAGTGCACACGAGCGTCTCTTTCACGCGAGAAATCCTCATAGACTTGTAGTTTTATTGCCATCCTCAGAGAGCCAAGTCCGAGGACACGCAGGAGAGGCAGTCACTCCGCTAACTAGTAGCTAAATACATTCCACGCTCAATTCATTAATCACTGACAGCGAAACTAATTGATTTTCGTTTGCACTAGTTTTATATATATATATACCTATTCCATCTTTGTTAGAGTATTCTCATCTTGACGAATTTTTATCGTTTAATCCGACCATTCGAGACACAGAACAGAATCTCTAGGCCAAGGTTCTTCCGTTCGTTCGAGGATTCTCTTTCTCTATTAAGTTAGCCTTGCGCGATAATAAAAATAGCCATCAGCGGTAGATATTTTGCAACCAGCGTGATCTGGCATGCTCTCGAGCCACTCGAAGCATCGATTGCCACGAAACGCGACGTCAGAGAATTTAAGCAAAGGAAAAATCGACATTCGTAATCTTTCTTTCAATGGTTCGATGTTTTACCACGTGGTGAATAGTTTTACCGCGCGTAGGAGAAAATAGAATTTACGAGGCTTCGTACGCTTAGTTAGAGCCGTGGTATCCCGAGAGCCTCCAGACGAATCCCCGAACATCAGAATAAGAAGAGTACACGCCGTTCTTCAACGGAGTATAAGGCTTACTACTTTAGAACCCTCGGTTTCTCAGAAACGCGCCCTATGGAATTCAAACGGCGAGACGCGCCGAGCTAATTTGCGTTCTGCGCGATTCATTGATCCCGTGTTCACTATTTTCGGATTCCACCAATTCGTTGTTATCGTCGATCTTCGGTTTTAAAGAAAATTGTTTCAAATTTTTACGATTCAATCTTACTCTCGTCTGAGGAAACAATATGGCTCTGTAACATTTCAAGAAGAGAGATTTCTTTCAACCCAAAAATGTAATCGAAAAATCTAGGAACTTCTTTGTAGTTCGTTCAAAATTGAGAAAAGTGAAAAAGAAAGGGTTAAAAGAAATGGCCGAAAGAATGGTTAACTATTATAATTACTCAAATTTAAATTTGCATGGATCTTTTAAATTTAAAATTCTGCCAGATAAACTGGCAATCTTTATTTTAACATTCTTGAAAATTCTTGAGAATTCTTGAGAAGTTGGATCTTTCGATTCTAAACTGTAATGGATTTTTACGACGATGATGATTGGAAAGGAAGAGAAATGTTTGTCATATCCCATTTTCCGATGCGAGAGTCAAATCGATTTCGAATATTCGAATTCTAATATTGTACCGAACAGTGACCTCAGTTAAGGAAGAGTAGTTATGCCCCTACCAGCGTTTGGCGCTAATTTAAATAAACACGTATCGCTCGATCGTCATACGTCAACACGTTTTACACAGATAACCATAGCACGAGCCCAAAATATTTACGAATCTCGGTTATCGTTTGAATCCTGCAAAAGACACGCTTTCCACCGCATAATCTAGATTTATAATTTAATTTATACCTATTCATCAAATATCTGTTTTGCGGATGCGTTTGAAGCGTCGAATAAGCTTCATAAATTAACATAATGTTAAAGAAAATTCGTATATTTAAAGTTCATGTGTGATTGAAATTTGTATAGAATAGAATCTTGTATTCAAAAAATTTTCAGGTTTAATTGAAGTAAGTGATTTAATTGAAAATTAACTAATACTTCGTTAAAATAAATAAAATTCGTCGATCGACTACCCAGTCACTCGGATGTAACAATTTTATAGATGTCTGATTTCTAATACGTCGGATCATCTCTATTAATAACAAATTGTACCACGTTTATACCAACACGATCTAAAATCGTCCTTAACTGAAATCAATGCATCTGTATCAACATTTAATTTTATAATTACACGAGCTGCCAGTTAAATGACCTGGTTAACAGGTCAAGGGATTTTCCATGCAAAGGGAAACTTGGAAAATTCCCTCGGGATCGCCGTATGATATAAAAATAAAATACTCGTTGCACTCTATCGATCGTGTTATATAATCAAAGCGAGATCTACCTTGGAGTTTGCCGTGGAACTTCTTGCGAACGAAAGAAAAGACTAGAGAGTGCAGAAATGTTCAGTCAGAGCAGAAAAGTTCGTATCTGTGGGGAAAAAATAAACGATTTACGAAATGGTTACGTAATTACTTGCCTGTTGGACCGAGTCCAGGAAATTTTTCGTCTGACATAAATCGCCACGTGCGAGCTCCTGGTTGAGGGCACGAGCGTCAGCGGCATCCGCGAGGCACGACAACGTTTCACGAATGTCCTCCAGACGTTGTCCGAGTGCCTCCACCTCGCAGTGCAACGGTCCACTTGCATCCAGACCGACGTTCGACGCGATTTGAGCCACCAGCCCCTGAAGCTCCGCCAACCTCTCCTTGTGCTCCGCCATCGTCTCTTCGCAAATCTGTCAGAAAGCGAAATATATTCTCAGCATTCGATAGCATTCTCAACATCTTCTGCACAGACAGAAGAAATTTTTAATTAAAGTCAAGGTTTCTCCACCGCAGAGGTTATCGACCTCTTCTTATCTACCAACGGGAGATTTCGCGACGTTTATTCAATGTTATCAGTGAGATATCAGTGTTTGTTTTTTGGAAAATTTAGAATTCCAAAAATCCAGAGATATGGTGATTTTATTTTAAAATGTGAAAGCCTGTGCTTTAATAATCCTTTAAGTTTGTGCTGTTTTCAAAGTAAGGATACTTACATTCTCGAAAATTATCGAAATTCAGAGATCTTTAGAAACATTGAAGAATCTTTTTCAGGGCAAAATCTACGGTAAGTCAGTCAGATTTTGAAAATTCTGAAGTCTATTCTTTACAACAACTCCTTGAAGTTTACTCTGTGACTTCTTTTTCGCCATGAACTTCAGATATTGAAACATTCAAAAATTCAAAAAAAACAAGTTTCAAGGAGAAAATTTCAATCTTCGAGAATAATGGAAACAATTTTTTCAGTGTTTCGAATTTTCCTCGCATACTCAAATGATACATCAAGCAGCGTAACATCTCACGTTTAATATTCACAATCGAATTTTATGTAAATGGAAAATAAAAACTTTGTGCTTCTTAAATTCATTGTGTTTGTCATTATTAATTCCTTTCTATTCACAAACGCTTATGTCGTTCATACATATAGATAAAATATTTCATGTCTATTATCAATATCAATAATCACTTTATCTAGAAGAAGAATATACAATTCTTGTGTTCTTAAAAGATTGCAGTTAGCATTATCGTCTCATGACGCGGTATCATTGATGCACAGTCAAATTGATTTTTGTTTCTATCTACATGCGATTTTTTTAAATATCCCAATGAAGAGATAAATGCGTAATTACTGTGATTTTGCTATAAATCATCAGTATGAATATTAAAAAAACTCGATGCGAAAGAATTGTGAATACTCGATGCTCTTGCTCTAATTGCAAATAATTTTTCGTACTTTTCACGAGCGTGGTGAAACGTTTAAAACAAATTGACACTTTCGTAATTGCTTTATCTAAGCTCGACTTGTTTCTCGGAGTTAACATTAATTAGTAACACGGCGATTTGAAGCGTTTCAGTTTCGAGCTGTTGTCGGAGTTTCGTGGTCGGAACAGAATTTCAGAAACCTGTTAAATACGCGTCAAAGATAGCAGAATTGACTTTGCGCGCCACAAATAGGCTATATGTTATTATTTGAAAAAGGTAGTTGATTTTTTTTTTTTTTTTTGAAATTAATTTATTTTGAAAATAATTTATGGTAACCGTGAATATAAATAGACACATGAGCAGATATCAGAATATGAATGTGAATGACACGCGTAGAAATGAGTGATAAATGAACGAATAAATGAGAACGAGAGAGAAGAAAAGCATAAGAATCGTAGAAGAATGACAGATGTGTGAAATAGAAGAGGTTTCGATCGAACTTCTTCGCAATGAAAATTACGCTCCGTTTCGTCTGTTACCTTTCTAAAATCGTACGAAATTATGGAAACACATTTTATTTATGCATCGTTCGCACGTTCTCTACGTCGTCAAGTAAGAGTAACGATACACGATCACTCCGATAAGAACCGCACAACTGCATCTTCTGATAAGAAGTAATCGTTCGCGCTACGAACGTCGAATGCAAACTACATTTTACTAGATTAGCACAGTGTCATGCACAAAGACTCTGCAGAAATTCTATTCCAGTTCGTTGCATCACATGTGCGACGGATTACACAGTTCCAACACAAAATTATCCCACGCCTCGAACGTCATATATATCGGTATAGAGAGTACAGGCTGTACAATATCATTGAATCACGCTGAGCTTCAAATATAAATGCGAGTATTGCACGTATTAAACGCTATTAAAACAACGCACCATCACCATCATTAAATTTTGTGTGTACGTAATAAAAATCAACGCACTATCAGCCAGGTAAGTTCTCATCAAACAAGAACAACTAAATCCTACGTATAAATTCAAGTAGGTGATTAAAAATTAGCACACAGTGGCCACATAAATTCTGATCAAACAGGAGCGAGACTAACACAAAGTGCTGTACACAGATTCGAGTAGACATTTAACAGAAATTAATACACCATGCCATCGGAGGAAATTTCAATGAACGTGTAAGATAAATTTTATGAATAAAAATCACCGTTGTCACTACGTGAATTCTGCGAACACGGTAAGAAGAGGTGAAAGAATAAAATCGATAACCCGCACAGATTCATAGACGAGGAACGAAAGGACGGGACGCGCCTTCGGCGATGCCGGGCGCACCGGATATATCGCAGAATCCCGGTTCGGCCCGTACCTTTATCTCCTCGGGCGTGCACATGCTTCTTAATTTAGGTCACTGTTCATCGTTCCTATTTTTCACAACGCGTCACGTACGCTCCACCGGCGAAGGAAGCCGACGGTAGACGGAACAGCGAATCGGGCACGTGTCCGCCGCGACATCGGCTGTACGCTTCGAATTTTCGATCAACCGGAAACTGCTGGCCACGGTCCTCGGCCACCGTGGTCGCTCGGACGCGCATAATCGCGCGTTAGTTACTGGCTACGCTTGCCGAGAAACGTGTTTACGCTTGCGACGATGTACGTTTATCGGTCGATCGCTCGAAGAAATATACAAAGATAATAATACATGAAGAAACGCGACGAATGGGGAATACACAGTCGATGATTATAGAATATATATGTATGTATGTATGTGTGTATGTATATGCTGCGTGATTTGTAGCAGAGCAGAGAAACAAGCGTCTCGACGCTCTGGACCAGACTGGCGTCCTCGTCTCTTCGGGGATCGATGCGCATACCCCGAGACTGAGTGGGGAGGCAGACTCTGTTGCCCCGTATTTCAACGACCTACCCTCGCAGCCACGTTTCGGCGCACTTGCGTAGGGTGAATCGTGCCTTCTACGTGCTGTCGTGCCGCACTAGGCGTGGTGGGGACGATGACACTACCCGCTGGCTCCCATTCAAGGGACGATGACGTTTCGATCGCACCACCACTTTACCTGAGGAAAGATTCACTTCTTCCCCTCACTGGCGATGTACAGAATCATGTTTGTCCGTGTTTTCATTTCATCGTATTGGAAGGATGGCGACTCTGTCGATAGTGGGAAGATGCTTTTTCTTTTCTTATAATTTTCAATTGGTGGCGATGATAAATAGCTTGGTTGATCATTGTATTTGACGTGAGTAGATAAGTAGTTGGTTAATTATTGATTTTGTATTTAACGAGAATGGACGCTCGGTTGCAGTAATAGGTAATAGATTTTATTTATAAATGTTTCTTTCAGGGTTAAAATATATACGATTAAATATATTAAATGTTAATGATTAATGATTGTAAAAGGAAAAAAAATAGAGTGATGAATGAAAATATGGTATTTAAATGATTTTTAAATTATGCTTGTTTCTTGTTTAAATTTCATAGAAAAATGCACAAGAACTCGTAAATTAAATCTATTCGTTACATCGATCCTTTCTCTGCTTAATGTGTCTGTGTTCATTTAATACAAAGAAATTAGTTAGGTTAGAAAAATGAGAAATGGCTGAGGATTTGTTTAGGAAAACCTAAAAAAGAAAAAAAAAGGATAGATAGGAAAAGTTGTATAGAATAGATTTTCGATAACAGGTAAAAGTGGATTGGTGAATTTTCATAGATGCAAAATTCACGGCTTATTTAAATCTCACAGATAATCTTCGACAATGTGTACAAATGGTACCGTGTTTTGATAATGAACAATGTCATCGAGGTACGGCACGATAAGGTTAATGGCACAGATTGTCAAGGTTTTAAAATAATAATAACACACAAAGCAAATTGAAGAGTCTGCTGTTTAACTTGCGAACGTTTAAAGAAAAAAGAAAGCTGCAAAGAAACGTCCAAACATTTGTTCGGCTTTGTCTTTTTGTCCTCGTGTTTGTCTAACCCAACATTATAATAAGTAATTTGCCTACGTTTACTACGTTTAATCAGTCGTAATTATTTTCATTATCGTTAAAATTCAACATCCACCAATGAATCATAGAAATGAGTCGGCATTTCCGGCAAATAATAGAATCTTCAATTTGGAAAACGTAACAGAATTTCGGTGATATCTGTCTCAGTTACAAGTGAGTTACGCTTTCAAATTCAATGACACGTACCCTAAATATAGAACCACAGAAACTTTCCACTTCCATCCACACATATTCTCTTTCCTTTTCTCTCTTTTAGTCTCTTCACGCTCCAATTCCTTTTTTCTTCTTTTTTTTTTTTATTTTTACGATAACACTGCGTTCCTTCGATAAAACTCGAAGTATCGGTACGAA